TGGATTGGGCGTTACCGATAGGGCGAGGGTCTGCGTGGTATTTTTTCGTGAAAAACTTGCGTTCTGAGCGTGGGCCGTCCAGCGGGAAACGACCCCGCCGAGATGTTCTTGTAAGTTTTTCATTGATTGTGGACAAGAGCAGGAAGGGGGTGGTATGCAGAGGGTAGAGAGAAGGGGCTTCTTGCAGCTTCGAGACCAAGCAAACCGGCGTATGATTGCTGCAGGACTTGAACAAAAAACAAATAAATGTAAGCCCAGTATCACTCAAAAGCATCTAGCAGGTTTTCCCCAACCGTCACTACAGTACTGCTGTAGACGCTTCATTCAACAACTGCCAACATCTCGATATGCAACACTTCAATTCGGCAACGCTAGCCCACCTCGCCGAAGTTCGGATATGCTTAGACCTACTTGGAAACCCCAGGACACGGAACTGAGTCAAATCCAAAGCTCGACAAATGAACCAAAGAGCAACGAATTTCCACAAAGTTATCGGCATTCACCCTCCCACACCTCTACACCTTGTAAATACTACTTTCTATTTTCTTAAACGTGGAAGCACTATAACAAGCGGCCAAACGATTCAGGCAAGGCAACAGCCGCAACAACTGCAGTACATGACACAAGATACCACACCCCCTGGACCGATTTTTAGAGCTCGACTACCGTAGGCGATATGACACAAGATACCACACCCCCTGGACCGATTTTCAAAGCTCCACCTCTCCACAGCAGAAAGATTAGCGTTGCCGACAACGGCGGCGCTGGAGCCGTCCTGTCGATATCTTTCCGAAAACACATCGTTTGGATTACACATGTTCTTCGGAGCTGAGTAGTCGAGCTCTGAAAATCAGCCCAGGGGGTGTGGTATCTTACGTCACCCCAGCACCTCATCGAACGCGTGCCGTCCGTCACCCTTCACGGCAATGACGCCCTGCTGGCGAGTCCCCGGTGATTATGTCGGTGTAAATACGAGAGATGCGACGTGCTCTTGGTAGAAGCCAGCGAAATTGCACTTGTCCATGTCCCGCTTTTCAGAACAGCGGCCGCCCTCCTGTCTGCAAGCATGATCCTCTGCTTCTGCGGCGTCCAGATTGTGGGTGTTCTATGAACTGGAGAGGTGCCCACCGCAAAGAAGGCAGAAACCTCTTACTGGAAGCCGAAACAGCAGAGCGTCATGCGGACAAACTGGAGGGTTTCCGCTGTTCCAAACAGCGAGACACAGATAAAGTGCAACTTCGCTCGCTTCGACCAACACCGCATCGGATCTCTCGTATTTACACCGACACAAGCACAAATCGATTCCTGCCGCTCCAAGCGAAGCGCCGAGGGTACGCCGGCAGGGCATCATTGCCCAAAAGGACGATGATCATGGCGCCAGTCATCCGGGTTGTGCGGGTACTGCGCTGTTGCAGTGACCACCGCATCACAAGAAGCGTGCTCAGGATCATGTCGGGCGAAACGTGGACAAAGCTGTCAAGTCGCCGTGGCAGGCTGGATAAAGGGAGAGGATTGGTCCAACCAGTCCGGCGAGGAGCAGTAGAGGACGGGAACAAAACCCATGGTTGCGGTTTCCGCTTGTTTGTAGCAACGGCAGCTACAGGTTTCACACGCGACGCCACCGCTTTGGGCGGCAGCTCTACGCGTGCACACTCCCACCCTCGCGAAGAAGGCCGTCACGCCCGTGCTCAGCACAAAGCTCAGACAAGCGTGCAGGCCCCCCCGCCTAGGGCACGGATTCCAGCAGTATTTCCCCGCACCTAACACTTTCGTGATTATCCACGCCTAAATTTTTCTTCCATGGCGTTTTGTTCATGTAGCATACCTCGTTTTGTGAGGCACTTGTCGTGGTTGACATTTGTTTGCTGATTAGAGTATCCAGATACATCGTGAGATTACTTCGTGAGATATCTACATGGTTAGATGCATCACGAGATACATCGTGTGAAGTGCATGCGGATCGCGGTGATCGGAAGAAGCCGAAGCTGCCGGACCAACCGAATGACTGCGAGACGCGCTGAACAAAACGCTAGGCGAGCTAGGCAGTGACGAATGAACCTACTTGCCAAGAGTGATTACAGCTCTGTCGGACTCACAAGACCCCATCGATGTGCCTTACGAAGGCCACCGCATGGGCTTCTGTCGTTTCAGGATAAAACAGACACACGATGTCAGCGGTACCACTCCTTGTTCCACCAAGCGCGTGCTTGTTCAGCATTCGTTAAACGGGCAAATTATGCGGGCAGAGTATTGTAGGCGAACGCCGCAACACCTCCCGTTTGCGGGCACGAACAAAATAAATAATTAAAACATCAACAGCCGCTGCAACACAGGTGCGTCATAGTACCAACCCTTCGCCACATCAGCATCCCCTGCGGCGCTAGCAGGCTGCACGACTAGGGAGAGCGCTGGCAACTAACTCCGTGCTTGCACAGCGCAATGATGAATGTTTTCAGAGAGTTGAGGCCGGACGCTTGCCAAGACATAACGCCCGAAACCAACGCGAGCATGTTGTCACAACGTATTTTATCACTCTTGAATCCGCGCTCACAGCGTTGTTGCCGGGTAGGACCTACATGTAGTTCCGTGGTCAGTCACATAGAAGGGTTGCTCTCCCTCCACCCCTTCTGCGGTGCTTGCTCTCGATTGATATTCCGCAAAAAGAAAAGGTATTTGTGCATAGGTTTCGTGAAGCATACCTTGGCGGGCTCCGCAGGCGCGGCAGCATCGGCATCGGCAGGGGCTGCGGCATCAGCAGCAGCAACCGCTGGGGTCTCCGTGGCGGCCGCGTCATCAGGCTGAGGTGCAACGATTGAGACAAAAAACACGAAGAGAGTTTGGCAAGGACGTGACAATTGTCGGCGGCGTTGATTGGATGGTAAGAACCACAGGAATTGTATATTAGGGAAGCGGCTTCGTCATCAGGCTGCGGCATGAGGGTAAAGATTGAGCACCAAAATACAATTTCCGCCAGGAATTGTCCATTGTCGGCGGTGTTAGCTTGACGGCAAGCACCGCTGTCTTGTAGGAGGGACAAACGTGCGTCTTTCGGTGGGATCCTTAAGTTATCTCTGTGACACACGTCAACAAGCCAGAATCGGAGTACAACTTGCAGTGCGCGGTAAACCTGCAAGGGAAAAGAAACATACGGCGCAACAACGTTGTGCTGCTCGGAAAATCGTGGAAAATTAGAACTTTCGCTGACTCAATGGATTCATTGCTTATCTATCTTAGACTCTTTTCTTCGATAGAGATGGATTCGTTGAGTTATACCGATAAAATAGTAAAAAAAACTGGTGTGGAGACTTCGAAACACACGGCAACAAACATGCCGCCGAGACCTGACCAGTCTCTTAAGCCTTGCCGCTATCTCTGAAACAGACAGACTGGGGGTCGCGGCGCGGTATCGGTTCCCGATCGAAAATTCTCAAGGAATCTTCTTACGAGGGATCGTTGTCGGAGCGAGTCGAAGAACAGGTACTGTATCTCACACGTACAAGAGGGTTGAACGGTCAAACGACAATCAACGCCAACCAACGAGAAACGTTTCCTCCTCCAAACATCCAAGTACCGTAAAATGCTTTGGGAGAACAGGCGGGGAGACCCGGTGCCTCGCTGCGAAAATTAAATTCTGGCGTTGCTTGTGGGCCTCCTGCTCCGCGGTGATGCCGTGTCAGGTGGATCTCAACTGCACGACACTCCACCTACAACACTCCACATGTCTCCGTGGTGCTTGGGACCAACAACTCTGTAACGGGATCGATCATTGGGTGGGTCTAGCGGCAGGCATCCAATAAAAAGCACCCCCGATGATGTGCATTACACATGAGTTGCAACAAACAGCAAGGCTGTATAACTGACCTATTCTTCACTGCTCCCCCTATTCCAACCAGAATACTGACCTTGAGCTTCTTCGCCGCGGGCGCCGGGGTGTCCGCCGCGCCCGCTACCACGGCAGCTGGCACAGGCTCCGCCTCCTCCCGGTCACGCTGGTCGCGTAACATGCGAAGAGGTCGGGAAAAACGTGAGAGTTTAAGACTACTGGGTCAACCTGAACCGCAGTGGCGCAAGCCAAGGGGACTCAAACCTATATCAGTGCGTATTGTGGATAGCACCACGGCTTCTTGCTGTGTCCAGCCGCGCTAGTTGCACGATGGGCAACACACACCCGCTGGAGCAGAGGAGCAGAGGGTCCCGATCCACAGCAGCCTGTGACCAACCACTCGCAACTTCTACCATATTCTGGGGTGGGAAAAGCCCCGAAACCGCCACGCACGCACTCACCTTCTCCGGCTTGGCTGTTTCGCTGTCTCCCGGCATGATTGCAAGGCTTGAGCTGTAACGGTGGGGGACTACTTGTTATCTTACTCCTGTGTCTGTGCTGGCCGCAGGCAGCCGGAGGGGGGGTACGCAGAATCATTTGTTCAAGAGTTCCAGCCAAGGAGGCATGCTCGTGCCGGGCGACTCAAGATTGTTTCTCTCCGCTCCCTGTCGCGGGGACTGCACACTGCACACACCCACAATCCTGGAGCGGGGGGGGGGCACCTGGCACGCTACACGTCCTGTTGCGGCAGCAGCGATGACGAAGGTGGCAATAATCGGTGGAGGTCCCAGTGGTTTGACTTCTGCTAAGGCTTGCCTTGAGGTGAGAGGTAGGGCGGCTCAAGAAAGTACCAGGGGCGGGAGAGGGGCGGACGCACCTGCTCTGTTGGGTCAACTCCCGGGACTACACTAACGCTATTCGTGTGTAAACAACGTGCGTTCATCGCGTACCACAACGACCAGCAACACTATTGTTTTGGCACATAGGCGGGCGATCACACAGCGCGAAACAGCTGAACGGCCAGCTGCATGCCATACATGTTGCGCCCCCGAATCACGCTGCCACCAGGTAAAACGTGCCAAAGCACAGTGATTTTCCGGACGTTGCTGTTGTAGACTTTTGTAGATACTTTGGCAATCCGTCGTCAGCTTTTGAGACAAGCGGTCTCGTTCATTCACTGGGTTCCGCGTGCATGCTCTTCCTCTCTTGGTTCTCTCAAACCGATATCGCAGTTGCTCTCTCTCTCTCTCTTTGGTGCGCGGACAAACTCGGCTCTCACGAAAAAAGAAAGATGCTTAGCTTCTTTCCGACTCAACCAACCCGATCGAGCCCACCACAAAAGCTCGGATCATGGAAGGGCTCACACGGAATCGTGCGATGCATGATGTCGGCCCGGCCCTTGGCAGGCGAATCTGGTTCCCACCGTGTTCGAACGAGACCTGTGCTTGGGTGGGCTGTGGAAGGCCGGCAGGTGATTGTATGTACAGCAGCTGCGCGCCGTCAGTAGGAAACGTCAAATTTGGGGTCGAGGCTTTATTTCTCATTTCTTCTCCACCATCAAGCATAGGTCGTTGTATAGGTTTAAGTGTAGGATCTACGGCTAAGGTGTACTTCTTAGCCCATTTTTCGTAACTTCCGTAAAACGCCCAGCCTCACCACTAAGTTCTTGCTTCTGGGCCGCGACCGCTGTACCGTTCGTGTGTCACGGGCACCCAACCGTACACTTGAGACCCACCAAAGCTTACGGCTGCTGCCATTGTTGTATCGTACAATGCTTTGCACCGGCAGAGGTCTACGTGCTGATCTGAGGTGTGGGTCGATGTTCCTGGTTGTTTCGCGGTCACGTGCTCATGATCTACAGTATACGGCCGCAAAAACCCTTCGCAAAGCGGCGAACTACGTTTGTTGTTGGTTTAGTTCTTGCCCCCTTCACACCTAGCCAAGTGCTGCAGAATTGTTTGAAGGCGCTACAGCAGAATGAGAGTAGAAAAGTATACAACACACGGCTAACCTCGAGAGTCGTGTCGAGGTCGAGGTACAGAAAAATGGAAGGCACAGGTATTTCTTCTACATTTCGACGCGCAAGCTGCTATCGAAGACAGTTTAGGCTTGAAATCACGCCGCCACATCGTTCGATCAGACTCACTCTGTAGAACGGCCCTTTCCTGCTCTACATGCACCCCGTGGGTTCTAGTATTGGTTCCTTCTTGGTTAGGCGGACGTTCAAGTTCGAAAACTAATACATCAAAGGTCTATAGTGTAGTTCAAGCTTTCGAGGCCTTGGTCGCGGACTGTCATTTTCACGCTAAATAGCTTTTCCCTCTATTATTGGACGTGCTTGTGGCCAGTGGGGGGCGCGTCTGGAGTTCGCTCAAGACTAACCTGTCCAAGCACACGTGCTGCTTTTCAGACTTCCGATGGCCCGTGGACACGCCGGACTTTCCCTCGTCAGGTTTGGACAAATGTGTTCTCGTCGACATCCTTAACTGTAGACTGATAACTTTTGTCCCTGACAAACTAACTGTCGATAACATTTGATGGACGAGGTGCTCTGTGTTCAGAGCATGCGCAACAAACCAGCATACTAAGTGTACACTAGTAATCGTTTGTCGGTATCGTGCCATGGATGTACATCCTGTTTGATCACGTTCTACCGCTAATTCACTCGGAACCTAGTTTCTCTGCGGTGTGTACCGGTTCTAGTCCAAGGAAACTGGAAAGCAACAGGATCTCGTACCCTCACTAGTAACACAAACCACACCATTCTCTCTCCCCCCCCGACGCCTTCGGTCGTCGCTTGCGACCCCCTTGCCACCTTCGAGAAGCACGGCTCAGGCAGTACATCGAGGACTACGCGGCACACTTCGACCTGGCGAAGCACGTCCGCTTCGGTGTTTCGGTCACCGCTGCCGTGCCCTGCCTCGCTGCCGATGGTTCTCCGAGATGGAACATAACCTTCACCTCTACAACACATCGCCGTTGCGCGGCAAGAGGAGACCAACGAACAACCGATCCAAGCGTAACTGCGCAGGAAGACGTAGTCCAGCGAACAGAGACGTTCGACAAATGCATCATCGCATCAGGAATTTTCTCAGAACCTCACTTCCCACCGGTGGAGGGGATCTCGGAGGCGGTGGAGCAAGGCTGGGCCACGCACGGCGCGGCCTACCGGGACCCTGGATTTTTCGGGGGAGATTCGGTGCTCGTGGTGGGGTGTGCGTTCAGCGGGGCTGAGATCGCCAGCGGTAAGCGGGCTTCGAACTAGTGTGTGTTTTTTCCACTGGTGCGGAAGAAAGTCGGGTGGCGACAGCGGCGCAATTTCTATCTAGGTTCAGATTGTGTGAGCTTGTATGCTGTCTGTTGCTTGCGTGTTGGGGGATAATATAGCAGCGGGTACATAAGAAGGAGCACCTATGGTCGTTGAAACAAGATTCACCGAAGGTGGCTGGACACCCGACTCGGCACCTTCCTTGAGCCGTTGGAAACGACACACGGGTGACCAGAGACGGCTAAGTTCGGCGGCCCGTCCAAAAAAGTGGCTTTACACAAACTATCGACAGCTTTCAAAGTCTACGCCCACCCTAGTCCCACACCGCCCCCGCCGTACTAGTTAGCCCGCTAACCCAACAATCCGTCCTCGACAAAACATCCCCCAAAATCGGACGCGAATACCCTCAGATGTAGCCGGAGTAGCCAGTCGGTGCCTCGCCGCGACCGGGCGTCCGTCGATCTTCCTACCCCGTTTCGTCGACATCCATGCCGCTAGAGGAACGCCGTCTTCTGCCGGTGTTCCTCAAGACGAAGTAGGAACTCTCGCTGCGAAACCAGGCAACGACGCGGGTACGGTTGGCTGTGGTTCTCGCCAATCAGCGCACGTGGGAGCCAGCGCAAGGCGGCGAAGCGGGGATGACTCAAGCTCGGACAAACGTGGGAGCGAGAAGCATCCTGACAACCCCCGCTGCACGCAAGACACTCCTCCTCATCTGGCTACCGCCAGCCCCAGGGTCCCGCTAGACCTTGCGCTGTATTCTAGGCGGGCCAGAGCCGGCAGCAAGCTTGCACCCGCGTCGGAGAAGCTAGAAAGTTCGCGGAAGTTTCTGGTGGAGCTGGCAGGAAGGGACCCAGGGGACGCGCACGAGGCGTTACGGCTATCGCAGGGAAGCGAAAACAGCCACGGCTCGGAGTCCGTGTCTGTGCGCGTTGTGGTCTCAGACGACTTCCTCGACCGGGTGAGGAGAGTAGAGGCAAAGTGGACTGAGAATCAAAGGAGTCGCCTCCTGCGTTCAAAGAACACCCGTAGACTTGAAAAGGCAAGGGGTGGACGGAGAGCAGCGAGGGTGAGGGACTTACCATGCCTGTGTGTAGTAGGCACAACACGCACACCCTGTCGCCACACTCTTGACGTACCCTATCGCCACACTCTTGCCGTGTATTTGAAGTCCGTGTACTGATGTCCCGTTTTTTCGAACTCGTTGTTTTCTGCGCGGATTCCTTCTCCCGGCTTCCCTCTGCCCTTCCTCTAACAACTGCCGGCGATTTCACACGACGTGTTCATTGCTCCATTGGGATTCGGCGCCCTTTGCCAGACACATAATATCGGGATCCCACGACTGCCCCCCGTTTTCGTGTTCAAAGTGGGGGCGGTTATTCGTCAGTGTTGGCTACCATTGGATGGTTTGGCCCTAGACTATGTAGTTGGGGAGAACTGAGCCATGCATGTCGCCCTCCTCGTCGCGTGCTGCTCCGCGTGCATTTCGAAATGACTGGCCCTTTCTCAAAGGTTCGGGACGGCTGCATCGAAATTCGACAAAGGTTGGTCGCTCTGGACACCACGGAAAGAACGGTTCGATTCTCGGATGGAAAGGTGGAGAAGGTGAGAGAGTGGGCGCCACCTCGTGACACACGCTACATATGAACCGTTCGTCGAAGTCATGTGCAATCATCAAAGCTAACCGGCAGAAGTGGCGGTATGGGCTCATGGTGTTCGCATTCCTCCAGTGTTGGGGACATGCATGTAGGGGCGAACGTGTAGAAGTATATGTGTGTCAGACAGAGACTGCTTACTCCGCAGCGCAAGTAAACCAAGCGCACATGCTGATGCTGCAGAACACTTGCATGTTTCCAACGTGATGAGCGGTGTGTTTCTGACGGGTTTGACGTTTTCGTTTGTCATGGGCTCGGTAGGACCTATGCTTTCCTGCATGACTGGCTCTTCGTTGATGGAGAACTTCAAACAAGAGGTTCGATCGTGCTTACGTGCTAAATACGAGGGCGCTCGCGCCTCATAAAATCTTTTCACGTAGGGGATGGAACGTGCGCATCAGGCCCACCGTCCGTTCCATCTTGGCCCCGAGGTTACCCTTGCTGAAAACAGAGAGTCAGCAACATCTTACTGGCACTACGCCGTACGCTGCTAGACAATGCCACCCGTGTGACAACGAACTTCAACCGACGTTTTCGATTACGGTGTGATGCACACGATTCTACTTCACGGCACCAGGTGGACCACGTGATTTTATGCACGGGACTTCGCCCGAGTCTCGAATTCCTGCCGGGAGACGTGCTGGGTCAGCTCGAACACGACAAGGGTGACCTCCTCCAGCCCCTGATCCTCCACCTCCAGGCTTGGAACCCTTCCGTGCCCGACCTCGGTTTCGTCGGCGTGTACCGAGGCCCCTACTTTGGGGTCATGGAGCTCCAGGCGCGGTGAGACAGGTGGCGCTGACTGCGTTGCGGCGATCTTCTGGGTGTGCGAAACAAGTTTGCCGTCAGTGCGTATCCACGACGCTGCGTGGGACAAGGGCGTTGAAGCGCCAGCCCTACTGCTGCGGGGCACGCAAGCAAAACTGTCTCGTCAGTTCGTATGTAGCATCACCGATGCGTCGAGAATCTTGAGACGTTTGAGGCAGACCCGTAGCAGCGACAAATGCAACTAGAAGCATGCTTGGTTGCTAAGCTTGCTGCGCTCCACCTCTCTCTTTTTCCTGCTGTATGCAATAATAGTTCGGCGAAAGACCCCGCTGGAACTTCGAAGAACGTTTTCGAAGAGGTTCATGTACTTTGCTTATGACAGCAGCAGTGCGCCATCGTGCCGTCGACTCCCAGGTGGATAGCTCGCATGTGGAGTGGTGCGGTGCCAATGCCGACAGAGACGGAGAGTGCAGCAGCCTTGCAAGAGAGCCGGTCAGTAAGAACAGTGATACCTCGGCCTCAATTTCCGACGGTGAGCCGTGTCCGGTTGGCCGCCGCATAGCGCGTAGCCTATACATATTCCAAGTGTTTCCCCTCGCGACTCTCATTTCAAGTGATTTTTCTTTTTTGTTGGATCACGATAAGGCAGCGCTCCCACCGACACTTCTGCCGGGTAGGAGGTATTACAGTTTAGCTCCAATCCGTGGCTAGTTACACGGAGGGAATCTTCTCCCGGAGGAACCCTACCTTTTTATCGTCCCGGAAATAGACCTTGCTTTGTGGGTGTTCGAGGAACCCACCATGAGACGTCTGTCGTGTTTTCGTGGCGTGCGGGTGGCATTTTGTGGCGTCTGTTGCGCTCGCTGATGGCCTTGTTGTCGTTGTTGTGCTACTTCCCCTTGAGCATTTTAATATTTAAACGCAACAGAAAGAAGTTTCTTTGGGAAGTCTATCTGGTCGACTTGAGACATGTAGACTAAAAGGCGTGCCACATCAAAAGACGTGGGACATGAAAATGGGAGGAATTTCTGGTTTTCACGAGTGTTCATGGGGCAGGCACAAAACTCCGATAGGCGCTTCTAGCCTCGCCGTCATCTTTCAGCAAGCTTGCTGCAGAACACCGCAACTATCGACGTTCGGGGTGCACGTTGCAAAGAACACCAAACGAAGCCGTTCCAATACACTTGTTGGCATCGCATCGAATCCCTCCGCCGCACGGCACTATTGAGAAAGCACCCATTTCCCGGCTTTGTTTCCGCTGCAGGACTACGTGGACATGATGGAAGGTCTTGCTGGGGTGGCCGGCTTGTTGCCAAGCAAGCGCAAAGACTTGTCGTCGTCGCCGTCTTCTGCAGTTTCCCCCGTCAACTGCCTGGGCGAGATTGCCGATTCGGAGGAATTCGTGGCCATGATGCGGTCACAGCGCCCGCTGTCGGGTGCAAAAGGCACGGCGGGACGGGAGGGGGGGTCGGAGGAAGGGGACGCGATAGGCGTGCTTAACGAGCGGATGTGGAGCGGGCCCCTCCTCCCTTGCCACTACCGCCTCCAACACCTTGACGGGCGGGCGTCCCCCTGCGATACCACGAACGTCGAGGGTAGTGCAAGGGCGGTTGATTTCTCCAGCCGGGCGCACTGTACGAAAAGCAGGCATGAGGTTATGCGCGAGGCCATCGCAGAGATTGGAGAGGTCAACGCTAAATTAGAGACAGCGTACAGAGCTCGCACTTTTCCATAGGAGATGATTTTGGCAAGCACCACGAGTGAAGGAACTGTAGAACGACTCTTCAAAGTCTAGGCAGATGGCGTAGTAGGTCGTGAAGCGGCCCAGAGACAAATGAGTTTCGAGGAAAACTAGTGCCACGACGGTGAACTCGGCATCTTCATTGAAACACGACGACCGTCCCCGGCGTGCTCGTGTGTGTCATGTATCCCGGTGGAGTCAGGCGGACATGCGTGTGATTACGATGGATGGGATGAAGTCTTATGACTGACGATGTCGATATCATCTGAACTGTACGTATGTATATGTCGAGTGGCAAACAAAGAAGGACAGAGGCTATTGCAATGTGTACGTGCGACATGAATTTGAGTTTGTACCGCTGAAGGAACACACACAACGGAGGGGAGAGAGAGAGGGGCGGGGGGGGGGGGCATGCAAGTATGCGAAGGAGCTCTGGAGTTGAACCACCCACAGCAGTACGGAATGGCCGTTCCTCGGGGGCGGGGGGGGGGGGGGGGGGAAAACTTATTTTAACCCCCCA